AAAATCTAAATAAGTACCAGAACTCATTTCGCGCCTTGAAGTAGCTCTCACTGATTACGTCATAATTAATTGACAATGATACAATTCGTCATCAACGTTCTAGAACTTTCTAGACGCATTGACGTCACGAATGATTAGCAAATTAACTAATTAAGTCTTAACTAATTAGTATTTAAGCCGTGACGTCGTCAAGTTAATTATCACTTGTTCAGTTGTTTTCACAGTTGCACGAGTGGTAAATTGAGTCTGTGACTTAACAGTTTTGCGATTGAAAAGTATCTTGAGATATGAAATTCCTGTTGAAGACTGCTCTGTTTGGAGCTACTGCTGTAGCAGTAGGCGTTACTGCCTACTGGGCGTGGAGTCATTTCACCAAGGTACAAATCTAGGAAAGCAATTTCACTTTTTATCCGATAGATTTTAACGAACGATCTTATTTATTTTTCAGCCAACTGAACCCGACTGTGATTCATCAGACGATGAAAGTTGGGAAGAGGGTTGCGCTCAAGGGGAAAGCCAACGCCAGCCACCAGTGGCCCAGGCATCCAAACCTCCAGAACCTAAAGAAGAGGACAAACCTCCAGGAAGGTCTGGAGACAAGCCAGAGAGCAAGGCAACAGATGCCAAGAAAAAGAAACCAGAATACGGATATTGTGGATTCAAGAAAGGATTCCTCCTTTAATTCTTCTTTTTTTTACTTGTACGTGAAGACATGCACGGACAGACACTACAAAAACAACCCAAAAAAATCAAAAAAATCGCAAAAAAATAATGTAAAACAAACGCTTAACAGCAAGAATGTTATGAGAGAGTTCGAATGACAAACGAGGGTAGAATGTTAACTTAAAAATTTTAGAATGTTAAATTTAATCATAATTCTAGACTTTTTTAAATTGATAGTCGAAAGGGTAGTGTGCAAAATGTAGTGTCGTTATTAGAAAAAAATAGTGTCTGTCTGTTGCATGTCTTCTCCCTTAAAACTGTAACTTCTTTTTTCCTAAACTCAAATCTGGACCAAAATTTAATCTGTATGTCAAAACATTTTACACTTGTTTTTGTAATAAAATACCTTTAAAAGAAAAAAAAATGTTGTGATGTCACTGGCATGGTTGGGTTGCCTGATTCAGTGTCAAAAATGGATAAAAAGGATGAAAAAATCACAATGAAAATTACGTTTTCTTTGCTATTGATAGAGCTCGCGTAGTTTCAGTTGAGTACTGCGAGCTAAAATATAAGGAAGTCAATTATATGTGCATGTAGCTGTTTCGCTCATCAAAATCCTTAGCAACTACAATCATTGCCMAAAAACCTTGAATTATTTGTCCCGGGAATAACATTTTTCTCCTTTATTTTTTCACCGTTCACCCCTTGGCCCCCTTTCACCAATGTTGGGTCTTGTTTTGGATGGTTTTGTACTATGGTAGCATGGTCAATGACAATATTGCATTTAGGGGGTCAGGAGGATGAAATTGTCTGTGGCTGTTGCCTAAAATGAGGAAATTCGCCGGAATGGTCCAAGGATTTTGTCAACGATTTTAGGTTAAGATTCGTTTTCCCGAAAGGGCAACGCCCGTTTTTATTGCACACACTAATTCACAAATATCGTATGTAGCTTCGTAGACTGTGCTAGATAGACTAGAGTGTTTTTAAGCTACGTATTTCAAGTAACTGTATTAAAGTTAATTTTTATTGACAGTATTAATTTTGTTTCATATTTCAGACTAGAAATGAACCTAAAAATATCGTCACTTCATGTCAGGAGATTGCTAGAATCAAAGGAATAACAATGGACGTTGTTTACAGAGAAACTACGAAAAATGCAATTGAGCTTTTTCCCAGACTCGCAAAATTTTTATGAACGAGATTCTCCACCTATCGTCAAGACGAATGGCCTATTTGTTACATTAAGGCAGCCATTTGTGTTCGTGGACTCTAATTAGTAGCAGTCGAATTTTCTAAACATATGGTCTGACTAATGGTTGAGTTGGTGGACTCSAGTAAAGATTCTCGTTCGTCTGTGGTGAGGCGCAAACGTGCATAAGCCCACGAAGAAACTTTGAAAACAAGTCGTACAATCTGAGAAATAATCGCTACTACTATAGCCAGGAGACAGAGTATTGGGACTGCAATAATGAGCAGTATTTGGATCCATTCTAGGACTTTCATGGACGAYTGAAGAGRGTCTTGAGTCGTTTGACCATTAGATAAATTACTTGCCTYGAACGAGTTGATTATTGCTATGACAACGAGAMAAAAWWAMSRAADMAAMYYSGSKKTKKTKGSC